CCCCAATCCCTACCAGACCCTTTAGGCACCCCACAGTAAATATGTTTAGGCCTGGTAGGACCTTAAGGGGAACCCCACCCCACAAAAAATGGTGGGAAAAGGGTCCCCCCCTAAATTCCTACCAGACCCCAGATCGGAGCACAGGCCTGACAGGGCAAGAAAGGGGGGTGATCATGTGCCCTCCCCCCCCCCGCTACTAACCCTTAATTTAAAAAAAAAAGGCCCCAAAAAATGGTTCTATAGTTGTAATTCATCATCAATCATGACATTCAGTATTGTCACGACTCGCCAAAATAAAAAAAACCCAAACACTAGCTGACCCATCCTTAGCTGCCGAGCACTTGCCACAGTCTAACATTTGCCAGTCAGATGTAAACAATTGAGTGTAGCGATTGGTGGTGTCACTGCTAGCTCATCCCATTTGTGCTGTGATTGGCCAAAGCATTGCACCTGACCATAGGTCAGGTGCACTGCTTTATCCAATCATGGCTCTCACAGTGTACTGTGAAAGCGCAGTGCATTGTGGGGTGCTCGGCAGGCGAATAGTCCGCCGAACACTCTAACCGTTGGTGTGTTCAGTGAACACAGAACGGCTGCTGTTTGAGTCGAACTTACATTCAACTCCAACATCAAGCCAATCCCTACTCAGCAACCTGTCACCTCATCCCAGTGATACTGGTATGCATATTGGACTCTTCTCTTCCCTTCTAAGATTTCTATCTCAGGAAGTGCTGTATCATTCCGTATCTGTGCTTTAATGCTCCGAGGCCTCACTCCACTTTTTGTGACTTCCAAGCTGGATCCCTAAGATACCCTATACTACAATCAGACCAAAATTGGGGTACAGATTGTTAGGGAAGGAACCAAGCACACAGGCTCCTTTGCTACTGGGGGACTCAGTCATCTAGGCCCAGTCACCTCAGCTTCCTGACTGGCTGTCTGCTATAACGCACATAAACACTTGTACTGTAGTTTCTAGCAACAGCAACACATCCCTGTGAAGGTTAATTTAACTGCTTGATAGGACATTGGTACTGCATATTCTCTTAACACTGTACTGGCCCCTGATATGCCCATGTTATGTGATACACCATGCATACACCCCTTTACATATGTCTGAATAAATTCAGACCCAGAACTGTGCAACAGAACTCATTTACTGATGGCAATTTAACATTACTAGATTGTAAGCTCGAAAGAGTAGGGCCCTTACCCCTTGTGTGCATTTACTGATGTATTGTCCCCCCTCTATTGTACAGCGCTGAGCAAATTGGCGCTATATCCAATACATGTTCACATTACAGTACAGTTTTTGTTTACATTGTTACACATTAAGTAATCCTTCCTAACCTCTAGTGCCTCATGGTATCCTTTGCCCTATAATAGCTCATGCCTCAAATATGTAGACAGTCCATAATGTCCATAATGTCCATGTCCTGTGAACTCCAATTGGGTTCCAGGCAAGTGGAGAATGATTAGGTCCAAGTGAATCACATAGCAACATAATCTGCTCTCTAGTTCCCAAACATGATGGGAGTGATGATGAAACTGCTCTTCTCCTGTATTTATATATTACTGATAGGGAATGGCACCATTAATACCTGAGAACAGGACATTTCTTCCTATCCCAGGGGCACCAGTTAAAGACACAGTATAGCAGTCAATACAGAAAAGAGCATCTGAAACAGTAAAGTACACATAATGCAATAAATCAATTTTATGCATCTGCCTACAAATTCATCAATGTGTATTCCCTGAGGCTAGTCACTTCAGTGGGCTTAGAGTATGTATGGGTTTATCATCTCTTTAAAACACACACGTTTTTAAAATACATTTTGAAAGCTCACATCTTTCAAATCACAACTTAGGCATGGTCTATAATCCCCCTGATAGCGCTGCCTCCTATTTTTCTGGTGTTTAGAGAGTTAAGTAAAAAACATATAATTTTATGTTGCAATGTAATTTTTTTAAAAACCGTGTGATTAGAGGAAGAATTTTTTTATGGATTTAGATTGTATCATTTATCCGGGGAATGTGATAATTCTAGCACGTTTGGATCTTTTTAAACAATTTGGTGTTGAATGGAATTTTTCTTTAATATATACACAAAAAAATAATTTTACAGGTTGACTTCTGGTTTCATGCATACCTTTCAAATGAGAGCCATCATGGCCTATTAGCTGTTCCTTAGAGCCAGCCTTTGATTATGTTACATCTTGTGCAAAAATCTAGTAAGACACCAACTCATGTTGAAAGAAATTTTTTTTAAAGATGCTTTTTGACATTTTATAAATGCACATTAACAGTAAATTACAAATAGGCACATTCAGGCATGTTTAGCTATTTTGAGCATAGTTAGCAATGACATATTCTTGTAAAGGCAGAAAAATTGAATCTTACAGAAGTAGGAAATTAAACATTGTAACTGAAAATGGTTCTACAGTCACATATTTTTTGATGCATGCTATGTATTAAGGTAAAAAAAAAAAAACCTTCCATTTGCTGTTCCACCCCACTTTCCCTAAATAATATCTGAGTCTTGTATGGATCCAGTGCTGTGTCTATTTGGAGATCTTCTGTCCTATCTCCCCACTCTCACAGGCTGGGCTGAAAGTAGCAGGAGCCATCAGCACCTGCCGCTGTCAGTCTAATCCAGTAAGGAGGGAGTGGGGCGTGTGGTCAATCCAGGCTATGTTTGTCTGTGGACACACACAGTCCAGCTTGGAAGCACGCTGACATTTGTGCCCCCATAGGAAGTGGCTTCCCTATGGCTGCTCACGGAGAAGAGGCAGAGCAGAGAGTGCTGACAGGGTAAACAGAAAAGTTTGTTCAGAGGGCTGCTCTGTGCAAAGCCCTTGCTCAGAACATTTCTTTTATTTTAATTTAAAAAAAGTGACTTTACAAGTTCTTTAAAATTGAACTGTTGTTCCTCTGCTCTTGCCATTTTGTGAAAGTATGCACAGCATACTGTAGCTGCACATTATGACATACTCACCTGACTGTTTGCCCTCCTTTGGAATTGGTAGATCAGAACTGTCTTTTGGTGTCCTTCATCACTTTAATACCCACTTTCTTCTTTGCTGCTTTTTCCTGGTTCCCATTTTTCATCTCTGTGCATCAGGGGGTGGGGTTCACTATTGGTGTTACTCCTGCAAATGCAAATTCTTTTACTCCACTCTGTTCTAAGCATCAAAATGTGCCAGCATGTGTACACAGCACGGTGCAATGTGCACTAGAAAATATTGCTTGGAAGAAAGGGAATGGTTTCTTTAGCAAAAAAAGACAAAGTAGCCATTTTGTTAATTAATATTCACCTTTAATTCACACTAACTTAATAGAACAACAAAATGAAAACTTTCCTTATTATAAGGAGGATTAAATTAAATTAATTGTTGTTTCCTTCCTTTCTCTTTTTTTGTTTGATACAATGCAGATTGTTGTTTCCTTCCTTTCTCATGGAAATATGTCGTTTTTTTTTGTTTGTTTCTCCCGTATAGAGAGCACTTCTTAGGCTATCAAATGGTGGTGTTTTGGTCGTTTTCAGTGTGGTTTATCTCCCTAGCGGTATGATTCTGTCATATTTGTACAGTGCTGAAAGTGTTTTCTTTGCATGGAAATATGTCGTTTTTTTATTGTAGGCCTGTAAATTTTTAGGAATAACTCACTGAAATCTTTCCGAACAAGTAAGTGTCTAGTATCATCCCTGGTATGATAAAACTTGAAACACAAAATCATAAATTATAATATAATAAATAATCATGGAAAAAATTATATATAAAAACATGAAGAAAAATAATAATACATTTAATTCAATAATGTAATCAAACCATAAACACTGAAATTTGAAATAAAGCGCCATGTTCGCACATCACTGAGCTCAGTCGCAAAATTCCCAAAGTGCAAGTTTCTGAATGGTCAGTCCACTCCTGATAGAGAGGAAATATCAACCAATAAATCCAGAAAAACACATCATACAAATGTTATGAATTGAGTTGCAGTTCAGTGAGTAAAATAAGTATTTGATCCCCTACCAACCAACGATAATTCTGGCTCCCACAGACTGGCTATGTGCTCATGCGGCACACAGATTAGCCCATCAATTTAAGGTGCTCTGGTTATGTATATAAAAGACACCAGTCCACAGAATCTGGTGGTCACAGTTGGCCATTCCTGATGAGTACCTGTCACAGCTCCCTCAGTTCTATTAATGCTCATTGCACTAGAAGATTACGGTAAAAGAGGTGGGGTGTTGATAGAGGGGAATTTCAGCTAACAGAGGAGACAACAGCACAATGGGTACATAATACTGACTGTAAGCAATGTCCCTTGTGCTGATTTGTGTTTTTATTTTAACTAAATTTAAGCTTTAGCTGAGGTAAACTGGACTTTATTTAATCTCAAGACTCCCAATGTATATAGATAGAAAAAAGAGATATTTCAAAAAGGCAGCTTGCATTTTTCATATAAGTTAGTATCCATATAGCATGTGCAATGGAATGGAATGTGCAATGGAAATATCAAATTGTTATTTGTGTTAATTCAGAACTGGTCAATGGGTATCACCGATTCATGTTTACTTTACTCTCCACCCTCTCTAACTAATTGCTATGTTAGGTAAACAATTGAGCTAAAAGACTTATACTTACCTAAAATATGTGGTCATGTGACGTGGCATGTTCTGAATGTCCTCTCTTCCTTGCTGTAGAGGTAAGGGTCCACCTTCAGCTGTCTGCATTGATTCCTGAACATCATATTGGGCTACCAAGGGTGCATTCATCATTTCACATAAATAAAGCTAATCTTAGGTTAAAAGGTATCTTCTTCAAATTATTTTCAGTTGATTCCCACATTATAAGTGCAAAACACAGTCAAGTAATAAAACAATGTACTAATATTATACCATCCAGCAATGATTGAGGAGCAAATCTGCCCAGGTGTTAGTCAGAGCGTTCACCAAATACTTTAAGAAACTTGGCAAACTCCATCTTAGCAGCAGATACCATTGAAGTTTATGGAACGAATCCAGGGGCGGACTGACCATTTGGAAACTCAGGCACTGCCCGAGGGCCCGGGGTCAGTAGGGGGCCCCATGAGATGCCCCTGGTACCTTTTTCATAGGCTTTTTTTGAGTTTGGGCAGGGACACAGGGGCCCCATGATCCCCTATTGCCAGGGGGCCCCATAAAGTTGTCAGTCCGCCCCTGAACGAATCCTATCACTCACTTCTGGATATTGTTTGGGCTAAACAGGCAATCTATTGCAAAATAAAGTATGTGAAACTAGGCATGATTGCGGGGGCATGCGCCAATGCCAAATATTTATTTTGAAAAAATCATACCTAAAGGAAAGGGTCCTTCACGTGTGGCTATGAGGGTGACATGTAAAAAACAATCTTTCAATTTCAGGCTGAACACAAGACAGTCCCTTGGGGGATGACCTTAAACTGTACAAGTTGTTATAGAGCAGTACAATTTTCAGCATCTGACAGCATGCGTTTTGCTGTCAAATAGTTTTTTCATTAAAAATTAACTTAGTCTGCATACAGCAGAAGCACTTCAATCTCAATCATTTCAATAAAAAAGTTTTTTTTTTTTTTTAGGTCAGGTTTTTTTTTTAGACATAAAGTTTTACAAAACACAAGTCCTGATCTACAAATATAGTATGTCCCGCACCAGGGAAATGATAGTTGTGCTCTTTAAACTTTTTCCCACCTTCTTCCTCAATCACTTATTTTATAGAAAAAAAAGTGCTCCACCAGTGCTCCACAAATGCACAGTCACCGCAAATGTATGACCTCTTAGTGAAAGATGTTCTTACAGTGCTTTTCAAATATATTGGTATGTTTGCTAATGGTCCGGTTCCAGGTGACTCCCCACGCTAATGGTCCTTCCGCAAGCTAATGGTTGTGGGGGTCTGCGGGTAGGGGGTTTATTGGAATCTGGAAGCCCCCTTTACCAAAGCACCCATTTCGAACTGACGGGCCCCCCAGATCCCAGCCTCCCCCCACATGTGAATGAGTATGGGGTACATGGTACCACTACTCATTCACAAAAAAAAGTGTAGTGTACAAAATGACACAAGACAGTCTTTGACAAGTCATTTATTAAAAACAAAAATTTTAAAAAATGTCCCCTAAGATAGATCCAACGTCAATCACAATGCTCGCCGCAACTGCCGACCCCGAAAAAAGAGGAAAAAAAATGCTTCACTCTCGTTCCTGGCTCCCACCATCTGACAATTGTGCTGACCTGACAGTTCTTACATATCTAAGAAGTGGGGGTCACACAGTAACTCCACCCCTTGTAACATCATCATGTGTTGTGATTGGCCCAAAGCATAATGTGCCATTATTCAAATGTAAACTTCTAAATACAGTATTCAAATGTAAACTTTTATCTACAGAGATGATTTCATAATCAAATATTAATGGTATACATAAAATTCCCACACTATTAACTATTATTTGAATATGGTAACGTTATCACACATGCTCATATGTTCCTAACAATATTGTTTATAATTGAACAAACATATGATGATATTAAGAATTGTTTTCCCAAAATATTTTGTAAGGATAAAATATTTTTGTATCCAATCAACATAGATACATCGTAACATTGTGTTACCCTGGGTAAAAAGGCAGGCAATATATTTATAAATAAGTCCATGATAATTGTAGTTATTTTGTCCACGACAAAGAATTTATAACATGCTAGCTTGTAAGCAGGCACATATTTGTGTGTGTGTGTATGTGTATATATATATATATACTGTATGTATAAACTATTTCAGAATATATATACGCTTAACCTTATGTCTTGTAATATAGAGTCCATCAAATGACTTATTTTATAGGAATAATTTGAAAGTATAGACAGTTCCAACCTCATCTATAGCAACTTCCCACACAGTTCACTTTAATAAATGATGCTTGTCTATTGTCTATTGTCTATGTTAGTCTTGTTTATCCTTCCCAAAGCTGAGACAATGCAATGGCAGTTGAATAGACAAGGTTATACTGTCCTGGGTCAATAGAAATTAACATATATTGTTTTTCTGATCCCTGTTTGCATGTGTTCAAGGTTTGTCAAACAGATATCTATCAGGAAACCAATACAGCTAATGCTGATTCTTGTGCAGCTAATGCTCATTCTAGTGCACATGTACCAGCACACAGACAAGCTTGAGCTAACATCCAGCGTGCACTGACACCTAGGTGCATTTGTCTGCACCAGACACACATCGGCGTGCACTTCCTCCTGAATTGGCGCCAAGCTGCCTATTTAACCACTTCCCGACCGCTGTATAGCAGAAATACTGCTACAGGGTGGCACGGGTGTGCAAAACCCACGTAAATATACGTGATTTAGCATTTATGAGTAGAGGCTGTGCTCAAGCTTCGTGTTTGCCCTACCCACTGGCCGCGGCTGTCAATCACTGGGCACCTACTGGTAATTACCCATCTGCGCCTGGTGATTACCGAGCATCTCCAACGGGGAGAAAGATTGTTTTATTTACAAACAGTCCTCCTCCCTGTCAGCTTGAGCACACTGCTCAGGATGGCTGTTCACAGCACAGCCATCCCAATCAGTGTGCTTACGGTGAAGCACACTCCTCCTGTCCCCCAGTAAAGCACTCCCAACATATAGTTAACCCTTTGATCACCACTCATGTTAACTCCTTCCTGCCCAGTGCCATTAGTACAGTGTCAGTGCTTTTTTTTTTTAGCACTGATCACTGTATTGGTGTTACTGGGGATGTCAGTGATACCAAGTTAGTTCCCCCCAGTATCAGAATGTCTGACGCAGTCCCGCTAAAATTCGCTGATTGCCGCCATTACTAGTAAAAAAAAAAAATCCCAGTATCTATACCGTCATTTGTAATAACTTTCACGTAAACCAATTAATTTACACATATTGGGATTTTTTTTTAGCAAAGACATGTAGCAGAATACATTTTGGCCTAAATTTATGACAAAATTTGATTTTTAAAATTTTTTTTACTGGACATGTTAATAGCAAAAAGTCAAAAATATACTTTTTTTTTCTCAAAATTGTCAGTCTTTTTTTTATACCGCAGTTGTCAGTTAAAGTAGCGCAGCGCTGTAACACCAAAAATGGCCTGGTCAGGAAGGGGGTAAATCCTGAGGAGGGTAAGTGGTTAAAGGAGATCCTGCTGGGTAGTAATCACTGAATGCTCTTCATCTCCCTATGATAAGTGTTCCTGTGTTCCTGCTTTTGCTGACTGAGTTTGCATTGCTGACCCAACTTGCTTCTAACCTTGCTCTGTGGATTCTGCATTCTGACCTCAGATTTCCTCTGACTATTCTCTGCCTGCTTCCCTTTTTCCTGACCTTGGTCTGCTACAGGACCTTGCTCTGCCTGATCTCCTGGTGCTTACCTTGGCTTGCTACAGAACCTTGCTCTGCCTGATTCCCTGGTACCGACCCCGGCCTGCTTCCTGACCATGCTACTGTCCCACTGTGTATGACTCTGGCTCATCTTGACTACATCTCTGACTGTGGCAGTCACCTGCCATCAAGCTACCAGCACCCATGCTTCTTTGAGCCTTGTACCTCTGTCACAACATTCAGGGGTGCTCAGGCCAGAGCTGCAAGGGAAGCCCTCTTGTCAACTGAGCCTCCAATCAAGGCACGTGACAATATCACTTTCAGGGTGATAAGAAGATTTTCTCCCAGTACTCAGGTGTGTGGATAACAGAAACGCAATTGTCCAGAGAATTTGTTCTGTAAGCAAGCTTGTTGACAGACCAGATTGATTCAGTTGAGAAAAACAGAATGTCTCTGGAGGTCCCTGAGACCTGAAAATGACCCTCTCTCTTGGGGCTTATTTGGTTTAAAGAAACTTACATGGTTCATACCAGAGAACTGATAGAAATATATATTTTTTTCCTCATAGAAATTCTAACAATACAAATCTACAGTATCAATAATATCCAAGCTCTTATGTTACTGCAATGATTCTCAACCCCATTTAAAGTAACATTATTACAAAAATATAAAATGCCCCCCAGGAGAGGGAGAGGACAGCCTTCACTTTAACACTTACAAATCTCACTTTGAGCCTCAAACCCATACTAATACTATAAATAATTATTCATAAATTCACTTTGGAGTTTTGAAATCATCTGTTTCCTCAGCATCCAGCTAGCTCTCAAAGCCTCATGTTTTTTCATGGCGTTGAGCTGCCATCTCCTCCATCCTCATCAAATAGCACATCTCAGTGGCCTCCTTCCTAATCATAGGGGTTTTAGTGGATTGGCAGTATATGGGGATGAAAGCCCTAGATGCACAAAGAAAAAAAAACTAATAATGACTTAATTTGAAGAGAGAGAACCTGGTATTATCAAGAGCAAATCTATCTCAGTTGTCCATTCCAATTTTATTAATGCAATCTTATTATACTGTATACTGTGCTATATTATCCCAGAACTGTTTGATTAGCAGACAATTCCACAGATTTGATTTGTAACAGTGTTACAACCTCTGATAAACAGCACCAACATTCATTTGAATTTATGACCGATATCTGATGCATTTTTATAAGGGGGGCTGTACCAATGGGTTAGCAATTTGCAGTTTATGCCTGCATTACTCTAGGCATGCTTAACTTACGTGTAAATAAAAACATCTTGAAATATCTTTATCCATTAAACACTTGTCCTTACAAATGGCGGTGTAGATACTGGGATTTGTTTTTTTTTTTATTTTTACTAGTAATGGCGGTGATCAGCTACTTATAGGGGGACTGTGGTGGGCATTCTGACACTGGAGGGAACTGACTTGGTGTCACTGACATCCCCAGTGACAGCAATACAGTGATCAGTGCTAATAAAAAGCACTCACACTGTACTAATGGCACTGGCAAGAAGGGGTTAACATGTAGGGCAATCAAAGGGTAACTGTACTGTGTGCTATTTTAGAGTGGTCTGTGTTAGTGCTTTCAACTGTAAGCACACTGCTTTGCATGGCTCTGCTATACAGAGTCATGCAAAGCCATGTGCAGAGCTGACAGGGGAGAGATCTGTATTGCTCCACGATCACTGGGCGCCGGCAAGTAATCACCGGCTGGGACCCGGTGCTTGACAGCTGAGGCCACGAATAGTGGTACAGGTAGGGCACACGCAGCTTGTGCACACCTCCTACCCGGAAATGCAAAATTACATATATATATAGTACGTGATTTTGTGCATCCCTGT